AACCTTCCTTCTGAGGAGTGGCTGGTGGGTTTGAACCGCCAGCCTTCTGGTGAGCAGTCAAGTGCCTTAGGCACTATGCTACCAGAGCTCCCTATTGATGCATAGGGAAAATCAAAATGTACACTTTGCTAGAGTGAAAAATAAATCTTCCTTTACCATTTCCATTCCTCCATTCCACTCTTCTCTCCAAATTTAAGTTCTATCATTATTCTTCCAGACCTTTTTTTGTTCAAGTACAGGCATAGATGAACTTGTGTTTTTCAGATTTAAATGGAAATATATGTATTGTTCTGTGATTTAGTTTTTCCTCTAAAAATACGTATTTTGAAAATTTTTTCATTCCATTTCATACATTGTACTTTTCTGTAGTATGGACTTTCAGAATTGATTTAACCTCTCCCTAATAGATGGATGTTTGGAAGGATCCCTGGTGGTGCAGTGGTTAAGCACTCAGCTGAGAAAGATGTAGCAGCCTGCTTCCATAATGATTACAGCCTTGGAAACCGTATGGGGCAGTTCTGCTCTGTCCTATAGGGTTGCTATGAATAGGAATCAACTCGATGGCAACGGGTAGAGATGGATGTTTAGGCTGTCTTCATATGCTTGTTTACATCCATTCTACAATGAACAGTCTTAGGTAGAGCTTTCTGTATAAGTAGGAATGTTTCTGTTGGCTACATTCTTAGAGGTAGAATTGCTGATTCAAAGGAAATATGTATTTTGTGTGTTGATATATACTGTTAAATTGCTGGCACAAAGAGCTATTCCAGGCTGTGGTCCATCATTAGTGTATAGAAATGCTCATATCCGCAGACCTTTACTAACATTGAATAGTACCATTTTTTAAAAAATTTTGTGAATCTTTTTGGGGAGGTGGGAATGAGGATGGTATCCCATTGTTTCAATTTTTGTTGCCCTGATTACCAGTGAAATTGATGTTTTTTATTTGTTGAATAGCCTTCTTTTTTTCCCCTGTAAACCCATCAAACCCACTGCTGGGGAGTTGTTTCTGACTCATAACAACCCCATAGGACATAGTAGAACTGCCCAATAGTGTTTGCAAGTCTGTAAGTCTTAATGGAAGCAGACTGCCTCATCCTTCTCTCACTGAGTGGCTGGTGGGTTCAAACCACTGACCTTTTTTTTTTTTGCTTAGCGGCCAAAATGCTTTAACCACTGTGCAACCAGAGCTCCCTTTTTTTTTTTTAATTGGAGGGGAATTTTTATAACAGTGAACCATTTTAAAGTGTACGGTTCTGTGACAATTGGTGAATTCACAGTATTGTGCAGCCACCACCTGTCTGTAGTTTCAGAACTTTTCCATCATCCCAGAAGAGCACTGGTATTTTTCTACTGGGTTTACTTTCTTATTCTTACTGATTTGTGGGTGCTTTTTTCAGGAAAGCTAGAAACTTCGCCAGAAGTTATCATAAATCCTCACTCCTCCTTGACCTTGGCCTCTGGATTGCCACCTAATTAGGAAGTAGCACTTGCTTTACTTCCTAATTATTTTTTTGTTCTGTCTCTTCTAATCTTACCACCATTGCCTTTTAGGTAGGATTTCCTCTTGCCTGGAATGTTATACTAGCCTTCTAACTCCCTCTTATCTTGACCCTTCCACATGACTGCTAGAAATATGTATCTGACACGAAAAACAGATCACATTATTCTCCTGCTTAAAAATGAAGTTCCTGGTCACACTCAATATATGAATTATAAGTTTCTTAATATGGTCAGTAGGTCCTGTATGATCAGGTTTACGGCTGCCACACCCTACTTTGGATTTTTTGTTCTAAATTGCTTGTAATAGCCTGTAGATAGCTTGTTCCTTTCTAGAGCTGTGCTTTGACTCATGGTTTTTTAGTCTGGCTAATTCTTGCTTCTTTGTGAAGATTCAAGTCAGGCATTAAATCCTCCATGACACCTTCCCTAATTCCCCCTCTTCGTTCTTATACTTCTGTAGCAACTTGTGCACATCTCAATCCTTTTACATATTGGGTTATATTATTTTCACCATCTGTCTCTCTTGCCTTCTGGACTGTGTGTTCCTTTTGAGAGTTAATATGGTTTTGTATTTTTGTTGCGTACCATAGTTCCTGGCACATACTTGTTAAATGAATGAAGAAAGGCTAGAGAATACAAGAAGGTGAATAATACATCTGGAGGGAACAGTTAGATTCAGTTTTGTTCTGGGTCTGTATCCTGTTCCCTTGTTTCTACCACTTTGTCCTGCTTCTTTGTGTGGACTGTGATGGTCTGTTGTTTCCGAGGCATCGTGGCGTTATTGTATTTAGATCTCTGTTAACTGTTTGTGAAGAGCAGCCAAGG